AAATGTTTTTGTTCCAACAGAAAGCTGCACATCTCAACGCAGTTCCTCAGTTTACCAGCAGGGGAAAGCAGGGCTTTTGGAGGCCAGTGTAGAGGCGCTGCTGCATCCTTCCCTCACTCTTTATGTTGACTCCTGTGTTGCTACACTGAAGTCAAATCTTCTCTCACAGCCGAGATACAAGTTTATCTCCAACCATGGGTCAGTTTGCATGGATAAAAGCAACATTACAATATAGTGGCTTAATAACTCAGTGCTAAATTTAAAAATCTAAACTTGCCAGCTATGACCCGATGAGGGACAATGAAGGTTATTTCTACTCTATAAATGTTAAATGATGTTCATTTATGTAACATATTGCATTTAAATTGTGTGGTTTTCATTTTGTAATGAAAACTAACAAAACCAAGGGACACAGGCTTAATCTTTATGTTCTAACCTTCATAGAGTTAACCAATTAGTTAACTATTAGTTAACTACCATATATTAACCTTATAACCATATATTAATGCGGATGGATATTTAAATTCCATATGTTGACCCAATTCTTTCTTTATGAAATTCTTTTGAAGTTTATACTTATTTTGGGTTTATTATTCCATAAAATAGATTAAATAATTAACAGTCCAAACTTTGACATTCATTCTAATGAGGGTGTTTGTACTTTTTGCTAGAACTATATAAACCAAATACATTTTAACACTTTTGATCTATATGCAGATAAAGTTACTGGGTAGTTGCTAGTTTTCCTTTACTACAAAGAAAGTATTTTCCAACAAACAATTTATAAATTTTCTATATGGACTTGATCATTCTTGATGTAAGCTGGGTATGTTTCTGTAATGTGAGCTGCTCTGTTACAGATGATGGACAGTTTACTGCCAGACTCTTCCTCCACATTCCCGCCTCAGGATCCAGCTAACAGACTTTGTTTCAGCTTCAAAATGTTTACTTTCAACCAAACATCTCCAGAGGAGGTAGATAAACATTTGCTGTTATTATAATGTGAGCATATATAGTAAACGTGTCTTTTTTTCTCTAGATGTTCATAAGCTGCCATCTTGGAGCCACTTTGAAACAAAAGTCTCCAAGCCGTCATAATAAAGCCTCTTTCTTCCACAAACTCACATTGAGGTCACTGAACTGTACATTTATAATTTCTAGTTTAGTTTAACTTCCTTATTCTTTCTCAGCTCAGCCTAAAATCTTCCAGTGAATATTTATTTTGCTGAAAGATGCTTTTGGAGATTTTTTTTTCTGTTATTCAGATGGCGGTCCATAGAGGGAGACATCGCTCTGTGTGAATGCTGCAACACTGACTGCTCAGGACTGACTGGAGTGAAGAACCACGGCCGTCCAGAGACGGGTTACTGAACGCTTCATAAAATAATACACCAGAAACTTTCTGATTAATGTGTTAGAGCGGCTCCATTTCAACCAGGTGGTTCTGTTTATTTCAGATGAGACGTTTGAGGCCCACAGGACAGCTGGACCTCTTCATGTTGTGCATCAATCCTACTGGACCAGAGAGCCATCAGTCAGTTGAAAAGACTCTACTCCAGGTCCAGAGTTTGGTTTTGGTAAGACTTCATCCTTTCTTCTGAAGATTTCAAGAGGACGGATTTTGTCTGTAGCTAAAAGACTAAATCACCTACAACATATAAAGTCTCTACCAGTGGGATCAGGTTTCACCTCTCAAAGCCTGTGAAGCTAAAACGTCTCACTAAGAGACGAGATGATAAACTGAACCTTAAACTAAAATTATCAACTGGTATGAACTATTGAATTACTCAGTAAGAATTTTGAATAATCCTGTAAAATAAAATAATTAGTTCAATGAGGTTGAATAATTTATTTTTTCTGATTTTGTTCAGTTAACCGTTTATGTGGTCGTTTCATTTTAACATAGTGGGAGATAATATTGATTAAATGTCCACTGTATAATCAAATTAACTTCTTCAAGCCTTCTCTGAAAGTAGATGTTCATTGGCAAATTTAAAATGGACCGTTTCTATGGTAACAGTGGTCTTCTCTGCTTTCAGATCGTTAACAAGCGCAGGTTGATCACTCACCTTCCACATGAGTGAAGCTGTGTATGAAGCAGGTATCTCCATTTCCAAATCATAACCTACCTAAAATAATGGCCCAACTCATGTTTTACCAAAAGATGACTTAGGCAAAAAAACAAACAAACAAACAAAAAATCGCTTTTGGCCATTATTTAGAAAGGTGATGAAATCATGTCATCTTCTCACTGACTTTCTGGATCTGCCTCATCCTCTCCTTGGTGTATTTTAAAAACTCGTTGGTTTTTCTCATGATTGTGGAAAAGTTGGAAATGACTCCCATAACAGCAGGAATATCTATAATACCTGACAACATAATCAAATGCATTTAATTTAGTAATATGCAAAACGCTTTCAAACTTGAGGTAGTATATTTTTCTGGATTCATGATAAAAAAATTTTCCTCTTTCCATATTAAGAAAGTAAATTTATTAAATACTTACTACTATTGTTGATACACTATTGCAGATAAATTATAATTGTTTAAACATTTTTACAATGATAAGCTTCACATTTTATACTTTTGTTCACAAATCCAACTTCAGAAAATTCCTCATCATTCATACATTTGTGAAGTTTCAGCCAACTGGACAATGAAGTTAGTGGTGATGAACTGTTACTTGGTGCAAGACATCAATAGACAGAGCAGCTAATTATATTAACTAAAGAAAAGGTCATTAGTAACTCGCCCAGGAAGAACTGAAAACAAACATTCAAGATATCCAAAAAGAAGGGAAATAAACTGCAATGGATCCTGAAAAATGTGTAGTTTACTAGAAAAAACTGGTTGTGTGGTGATGTGTGGGCTTTCTGTCATCTTTGTTCAAACACACTAGAGACCAGATGGGACATTTATTGGCTTTATGTTGCATTATTTATACTTTTCGTTACTAATATGCTTTAAGCAAGCACTTCTACCAGTGTAGTTGAGAAGTAATTTAAGAAATGGAAAGGCCTTCATGTTTGCTTCTTCCATTTTTTGTACAAATTACAGAGGTGCAATAAATCAGCATGGTTCTTGAATTTCTGTATGATGTTATAGTTCTGAGATTTTAGTCTCTTTCATGATTTCAGATTGATTACTAACAGTTTCTCCTGGCAGTGATCAGGGTTTGGTGAACCACAGAATCTGATTAATCACAGTTTCTGTATGATTAAACAAGAGCAACAACTACTTTTTAATTTATTCAAGTTTGTTTGGATAGTTTTTCTTTCTCTCAAACAAAATCTGAAGTTACAAAAAGTTCAAAAAATTACTTTTACAGCACTTCATCCAGAACGATCAGAAAAGAAAACAGAGAGAAAAAAAAACATTAACATTTGAAATGACAGCAAGCATTTCAAATGTTTGCACCTTGGCAGACCCAGCAGTGAAACTCTTGGAGTTTTCTGATGACTCTAGTTTTATTGGCCTGGTCCACGTCAATAAAGATAAGTCTTCCTCCTTTGCTGTTAGCAATGCCAGACACAGGGAGTAAGTTTGAAGAGTTGGTGCAACAAAAAAGAAAGTCAGATTTTCCAAACCATGCAGGGAGTCTGATGAGGGCCTGCAAGTCATGTTTGCAACAGTGCAAAGATTATGAAGTGGAATCTACAAGTGACAAGGGGTTCACGAGATAACGGGTGTAAGGTTGGAGGGAGCAGGCAGGGAGAATACCACAGATAGCTGCATGGCAATGAGGGGAACGTCAGAACTGGAGGAAAGGCTGGGCTGCAGGGTTACTTGTGATTTGCAGATCAAGTCAAACTTGCATTAAGATCAAATCTAAAGTTATGATGTTATAGGTTTATTTGTTATGGAAAATCCGTACATCTATTCTCATACACATTTAAAATACATTCTTGATGCTTGATCAAGAATCTATGTTGCATGTAAATGCAATATGCAGAAATCAAAGGTCAGCCTATCACCTTATGTATGTAGCCATGATCAGCTATCTTCTTGGATGTCAACAAGTGAAGATAAAACGCCAGAAATTGGAAGTTTTTTGAAAATAGTCCCTTTCCACTCCATAATGTCATATCCTTTCTGGCTGGAGCATCTGCAAAGATTATTATACATCAAACTCAGAAAAGTAAAAACCTGCAGATTGAGTCTTTTAGTTGCGACATTACTGCATCAAATGTTGGCTCTTGGTTAATTATTTTAACGGGTTGAGTTAAATATACGAGAATCTTGGAAGAAAAGCCTGCAAGAGACTGCCGTCAAAAAATCCTGGGTTGGATGTTCAAGTTTCTGCAGGAAAATGATACTAAACATCCACTCACAGCTGCAATGGAGTAAAAACAATAAAAAAAATAAAAGCAACGACTCATTGAAAGTCTAAATCCAATCTAAATCTCTCAAAAGAGCTGTTGAAACACTCCCTTCCCAAACTGGGAAAAAAAGAAGGCAACAAATTTGTCCTTCAGCTGTAATTGCAGTGGAAGATGGTTCTAGAAAGTATTGACTCAGGAGGGCTGAAGGTGCTAAAGCACTTTGAAAAGTAAATGACGGCAGACTTTTAGCGCTCCTTAACCCTCAAGCGGTTACAATGAAATCGGTCATTTCTATTGACACACAGACAGAAGCGAAGCTGCCATTTTGCTCCATCAGCCCTTATGACAAAGAACACAGGTCTACAGCTGCAACTAGATTTGTACATGCCTACGAAATTACAAATTATATATTTTTAACCATGTATGTGCATTCAAATACATGAACAAAGGCCTGATATTAACGTATCGTAGTATTGGATTGGTGTGGTGAGAGAATATTAACTTTAATAAATAAATTCATGTGGCTAGAGTCTTTCATGAAGTGCCTCACAGCAAGTTCTCTTTCTAAAGCTTATTCTCTCACTGGATGTTTTATGTCACCGTGTTTTTGTAGCCACGATCCGCTATCTTCCAGAAGCCGTTGTTTTGTCTTTTCTGGACTGTAGATGGAGATTATAAGATGCTTTTGCAAACCAGTTTCCAACCACATTGTTTTATTGTTTACTGGCCACAAGAGTCTGTAGTGGAGATCCCCTACCTGCTCTGTGACATCACAATTAACGATATAACTGTTGCCAGTGGGGACTCTCGCAATCAGAAACAATAACTTCTAACGTCTTCAGTAGCTTCTGTCTCGGCTCCTGCATCGGCTCCTCGTGGGTCCCCCTATTCTTTCATCGGCTTCCTGTCTTGAGTCGCGCCAGAGGAGGAGATCTATCTGGCTGCAAGCCCAAAACCTGGATGAGAGACCAAAACACAAATGTATTTACTTTCACTGCCTCCAGTTTGTGATATATCTTCCCCTTGAATATGATCTTTTCCCCAACTTTTGATCTTTAATTCCCAAAGAGCATGAAGACCTATCTCAGATTCCTGCTTCCTATATATCTTTCAGAGGATCCCAGATTGAACAACCTTCCCTCATTGCCGACCAGGAGTCAGTGTGACTGGACACCCCTGCCCCCGCAGCCCCCACATCCCTCACCTCCCACCCTGAACCTCTGCTCTGGTCGTGAAGCATGGCTGAAAGCACGTACCTTGTCTCCCTCTCTCTCTCTCATGTTGGCTCAGACATAAGCAAACAGTCCTTTGAGCAAACACTGCAACAAAGCTGTCAACACTCTCCTCATTTTCTCACAAGTGACAAAGCTGCCTTGGACTGATCAGACAGCTACAGAGATTCACTTAATAAAAGCACACTTTTTTTTATATGCATATAATAAATATTTGTGTCTGTGCTTCAGTGACGCCATCAATGTCTGTGTTGCACAGACACGTGCATCCGATCACCTATACGTCCCTATATGGATACATTTGCTTGCTGGCTTTGAGGTTTTCCGAGTATTTCTGTGAGTAAAGTCGAGTCTTGATATGCAAACATTTACTTCTGCTACTATTGCTGCAAAGCTCTTAGGAAGACCCCCTGTCCTGTGGCACACTCTGGAGACTTCCAGGAAATTTCGATATATTTCCGTTTTTCTGGCTCCACACTGACTGTCAGGGGTCAAAGTAAGGTCACGTGATCTTTGATGTGCAGAATATACTTAAAGCGTAACTTTATTTTCTACATCAGGACTGATGTAATGGACATCCCTAATTTGGTATTTGTTGCTTAATAATGATTAAAGGAAATATTAGAATTAAAAAAAGAAATCTAATAGTTATGCAGAAAAGCAAGTCTTTCTTGGATTTTGTAAAACTGTCCCAATGAGAAAAAATTATTTATTTTGTGTCTTCTATTGTAGATACTTTGGTTTAAATTACATGTCATGTTAATGTAGCTTTTAATTAGCCTTGAAGCAAAGGTGTATCTCAATACATGTATAATATTATGCAAGGGTTGACCTATTTCTATTTACGTCACTTAAAAAAATTATAATTTTAAGACGGGGAAAAAGAGTTTTATTAAGATTTATGCTCTGGCTATGTTAAAACCGACTAATTGGGAAGACTCATTGGCTCCCTCCACAATGGCTGTGCACCATAAGAGATCATTGCTAAAGATTTGATCTGAATCTTTGCATGTTTATGGAAAGTTGAGAGGAAGGAAAAAGTGTGGAAGGAAATGTTGCGCAATCAACAAGGATAATAGGAGTTACAGTTTTTAACCGTTAGCAAACATCCTCACTAAAAAGTGTTGGGGGAATCCAAATCATCTATTCATGTAGTAAGTGGAAAAAAGGAAATTTTGTAAAAATGCTGATATATTTGCCCAACCTCTGATCTATATGTAACCTAAAAGGCATCATCTTCTTCATACTCAGCAGTGAGTGATTACATGTTTGTGATTGTGCTACAGCTGCAAAAAGTTGCACAAACAGACTCCACTCACACTTTGTTGTTTGCCTTTTCTGTTTTCTTGTTGTATTTACCACTTACTTCAGCTGGAGATTTTAAGTGCATGTAACTTCATGGCACTCATAGGTCAGGAGTAAAGACAGTTTTCAGCCATTCTGTGTTTCTGTGTGGATGAAAATATTTGTTGTAAATAGTAAATGTATCTGTACCGTGCTTCATCAAGTCCAGAGGACTCCAAAGCATTTCACATTACATTCATTTACCTACCATGACTACTGCCTTCTGACACAACTCTGCTTGATTCTCATCTCCCTCCAGTGATCTGGCTGGGTTTTCTCCCATTAACTTTGATTCTGCTGGTAGATTTTTTTTTACCAGGCCAGTTGGCAAACAGGAGAAGTTGTGAATGATGACATTGATTTTCTGTGCTGTTTTAGAGTTGTAGTCTGCCTGTAGTTGTAGCAATGGAAGCAGAGGAAGTGGCCAAAGGCATTCAGTTTGCAGTGGTCACACTTCCAAATATTGAATTAACTTTAAGAGCCATCTTGTTGGGATGGAAGTTGTAGGTGAGCTTCATAGAACTGGCACATTATGTAGATCAGGGGTGTCCAAAGTCGGTCCTGGAGGGCCGGCATCCTGCATGTTTTAGTTCTGTTCCTGGTTTAACGCACCTGGATGAAATGATGGCTCATTAGAGGCCTAAGAGGAACATTGATATGCTGAAAAGGTTGTTAATACCACCAGGGAGAGAACTAAAACATGCAGGATGCCGGCCCTCGAGGACCGACTTTGGACACCCCTGATGTAGATCATGGGTAAACAATAGCCATGGGGCAAAATTTAAAAGTTCAGCAGAGTCCACGCACCCAGCAAGCATTTTTTTCTCAATTGCTACATTGTAACCGTAGCTGCCCTGCAACAGTCTGTCACTGTAACGGGTAAAGTGCTTTACTCAAGAACAATGGAGAAGGACAAAGCTTGAACTGGCAACCCAGCGATTACAGGACAAACTTCTTCACAAGGAGCTCTGACCTCCATTTGTTGTACAGTTTTACATCCATATTTATCTCAACATTAAATGTGAGATTTTACTTATAAACAATAATGTTTTGTGATCTGGTTACACATTTTCCTAAACTGTTTTCAAATTTCCCCATTTAGCTTGGGAGTTCATCATATTGTTTTGTTATTTTTGCTAATTTACTAACTAGACTGAAGACAATTTAGTTTTCAGTTTAAAACTATAACTGCATTAAAATGTTATCCAAAACTACATGTTTTATGTTTTCTATCTAGTCTTTATGAATAATCGCCTCGGAAGAGCTTCTGATTCATCAGTTGGTTTTTACGTTTTACAGATTTGAAGTTTCCATTAATCAATGTCTGGTGTCGTCTTGAAGTTATCCCACCCACTTAGTTTATTTTACCATAAACAAGATAATAATTCACAAATTTATAATCTTGGTTGGTAATTAGAGGGAAAAAAAAAACCTTTAAATCTGAGGTGGCCTCATTTTCTGACCCCCTGGGTTTGTCTTTCCTTTAATTTTTCTCTGTCACAAGACTTTCTTTAGAAAGTTTTGGAAAGATGTTCGACCACCAGCAGATTCAAAGGACGATGCCGCCTGTTTTGATAATGCTGGTATAAACAGTGAGAACACAAAGAATAACGCTTTTTACTTTGGTTATGATCCGGTTTTCCGCTGCGTCATCAATTTCTTACAGAACAAACCACCCAGTATAAAATACTCACCAGTGTGGAGATTGTGGTCCTTGATGAAGATGTTCTGTGTCGGGTTTCTGGACCCAGGCTGCTTGCTGCATGTCTTCCCCTACTCTCTCTGGCCTACTTCCTGTTCAGCTACTGATGAAGAAAGTGCCAAAAGAATAAGAATATAAAGTAAACCTAAAATATGCATTCATAAATTATGGGCTTATTTATTTGCAGGGCTTATTACCTGAGTCTAGCAGTGGAGAAGATTAGGTAATTCGACATTTTTAAATTCATGAAATACTTTTGGTCGACTCAGTTTGGTTTAAGCTTCTTGACATCTCCTCCCCACTTACTGTCAATCCATCAAGTGGAAATTAGAGATACAAGATATATCTACATTAGCAAAGTTAGACATTTTTTAAGAAATTGTGTCGGTATGATTATAAAACCAGGCTTATATTAATAATCATTACTTTTTTTGTTGCCACTTGTATTTCAGGAGCGTAGAGGCTTTGTCATGCGAGTGATGCACCGCAGGATTAAGGTGTATTTAACTGAAGCATCAGCAGTTTCAGCTCTCATCCCAAGCCAAACCTGTCAGGTTATGTGTCATTATGGGTTGTTTTAAATATCAGTACATTGTAAATAAAATCTGGTGGCCTCAGTGAAAATCAACTCTCATTTTTCTGGCAAAGTTTTTAGCAGCTTAATGACCAAAATCAATTCAGAAATTGTTCACCGGACACAAAATCATCCTTCAGTCATCAGACATAAATCTTTGAAGACCAGGGCTGGGGACCACTGACCTAGAGGGAATGAGAGTTTTACTAATGCAAAAAGATTAATTTAATTTAAAATGTATTAAATAGCACCACCCAGTATCTATGAAGGGTGCTGGATAGAAAGAAAATATGCAAAATGTGAAACTACTGCAATAAATAAACAGTGCTGGTGTCTTTCTGTTTTGGTTTATAGATCACAAATAATAAGTTATTGATCCACAGGAATATACATTTTAACAAGAATATGATGAAAAAGTTGCCTCAGATGGTCATTTGGCAATGAAGCAACTCTGCTGTAGTTTTTTTCTTATCACCTAATAAAACTTTATTTGCTGCAATAAACAATAAAATAAACAAATGTTACTAAATAAATTACTGGCATAGAGTCTGAATGCATTGTACTTTGATAAATAAGATTTTTTTAGCATTCTTGGCAATATGCATACTTTGCATGCTGATGTTGCGATTACCATAAATCTGAAATATATTCTTGCAACACTGTTAGCCTGTGTGGTGTAAATATTATTGTGCTTAAAGCAGCAAATTTCTAGGATCTTTACCATTCATGTGATTATTATTTTGACTCCTCTGTCAGAAATCATGTTATTGGCACCCGTTCGCAGCCATTTAATGGTGAAGTTATCGTTTCTTTCTTTTGGTTTATAGTCCCAGTGCGACTAACTTTAACATTAAGAGGTTTAGAAATACATCTGTAGTGAATTGGTCTAAAAAGAAACTACTTCTAGTTTCACTTTTATGTGTTTTTTTTCTGCTACTGAAAAAACTTTTTACTAGTTCTTTTCTCTAGCCATCATTTAGGACTAAACCAGCTTATATCAATTTGCACTGATTGGTTTGACTTTCTCTTAAAAATCTGGGGTTTTTTTTAGCTATTTTGCTTCTTTCTTCCCTGTGTCATCCCACTGTTTTTACACTCAGCTGTATTTATGGCAAATTCTGTTTGTATTTCCTTTCATGTGTGGATTACTTGAGTCCGGTGTGGATTTCATGTCAGCAGTCCTATTAGAAATCAATTTCCTGAGGAAAAACATTAATAGAAGTCATTCTCATTGCTCATCACAGAGGAATATTTTGTGTGGCGACTGTTTTGCTGCAGGACTGGATGAACTTGAACATGTGACTCACATCTCGGATTCTTGGAATCACCAGCTTGTTTTGAGAAAAAATGTAATGACTTAAGTACTTAACTTTAAACTTGATAACCATCTGGCTTTTCAGGAAGATGACAATCCTGAGTAAATGTCAGAGAGTCCAAATGGAAAGGAGCGGAGGACAAGAGCAAACTGGAGAACCTGAATCTGACAATGAAGAGCATTAATAAACAGGACGTGTTTGGAAACAAGAATCATCACAATGGAATCAGAAAGGTAGGCTTTGGTTAAAGCTTTATTTGTGCAGTATTTAATATTTGAAAGGTCAGCATCAAACCTCAGACCAAATGTGACTTTGTACTAGTCAATAAATCACACGAGAAGAGATTTTAAATAATTTCCTCTAATATGTCAAAGTTCTGAATGAAAATCTCCATATTTTATTCATTTCCCCCTTTTTATTGTCTTAAATTGTCTTTTAAACGTCTTTGATCGTGCAACCCTTTTGATGTGTGAAGCAGATATTCTGGCCAGCAAATGCGATTTTGATCTCAATGGGGTTTTAACTCGATTAAATAAAGGAAGTCAAATTAAACTGAATCAAATTAATGTTTATGTAAAACATGTTTATATTCTGAGAAATCAGTTTAGTTACAAAAATATATATTTTCTGAAATATTAAATATTGTGATTTGCTGTTTGTGGAAACATTTCCAACAATAATAGATTGAATGGCAGGTTTTTCTGTTGCTTTTCGTTTTGTGGTTTTAATGACCTTAATATTAATCAACAGCGGTCCCCCCACTCTATTTATAAAGCAATAACAGACAGCAGTTTGCCTCAAGGGAGGAGTAGCTCATCTTGTCATCATGGAAACAATGACATCTTATTTTCAAAGTCATTAATATATAAAAAAAAAAAAAATCAAACGGCATCAGTTTTTAGAAACACCTACCGGATAAGTGCACATGAGATCCACAAAAGAGCTTGGTTTCCAATTAATGGCCAATAGACGGACCTTTTGGTCAAACCACGCGGAGCCTGTGAGGGGCTATGCGGACACCGCTATGGAGTTTCCCAGTGAGTTATGGGCATGTCTTAATCACTTTTTCCCCTCTGTAGCTACACTGGCTTTGGTTGTTGGTCTTTTTCCTTGCTTTACGCACTGAGGGGGCTGCATTATGGGTTGATGTTTAATCTCTGTGTGTGGTACGTCAAAAAAAAAAAAAAAGGCGCGTGCTCGCGTTATCACCGTCTCGTCTCCTCAGGGGAGGTAAATAAAAAGGTTTTCCCAAAGCTCCCCAGTGATGAAGTCTGCTAGGGGAATGCTCTGTGCAGCAGGACGGAGCTGCGTGACGCTGCTGGTCGCGTCTTGGACCTTTTGGACATTTGACCGGTGCCCCAGACGCTGCCTGCGGTGCACACGTCCAATGATCTCACAATGTGTTTGAAAGATGCCGCTGCTTGTCGCGAATGTTGCGGAAAACTTGTAGAGGTAAGAGCGAAATGCGTCCAGCCGCGCAGATGGCCATGTGGGCATAACCTGTCTGCACCGCAGCTCTGCAAGTTCAGGTTATTTGATCGCGTTTTATTAGCCTGTGGCGCATGAATGAAATGTGTAGACAGTAGTAACTGCTTCTACTAACACGACGTCGTTTCTAGATTTTCGTGTAATTTTTCATTCATATTTTCTCGACTAGATAACTTTATATAGTTGAATGAAAAACCTGTTTTTCTGAAAAGTTTAAGTATTGTTTGATAAACTTGGTGCTTAATGGGAGCAAATGCCTCGGCAATAAACTTTTTTGCGTTATGCCTTTTTTTTCTAAAACTGTTTTAGTCTGAGGCAATCAGAAAACATTGCACATTGACTAATTAGAGGGACAAATTATTGTTTTAGTTGACGCATAACTCTTACTGTTGTCGTGGTGTCTTCTGTTGTAACAGAGGAAAGTCTTGCATTGTATGAAAAAAGCTTATAACTTGTGGGGAATGTTGGTAAAATGTGAGAATGACAATGCAAAGTGAGCAGAATGAGCTTTCTGTGATGATAAAGATTTTGGTGTTCAATATTGCTGAATAATCCTTTGTCATTTCTGAAGAAGCATTGCTAGTAGTGTTAATGATGTGCAGTGACATGAAGCTAAGTTTTTCTATAGGAATTATGTATATGCATTGTGTGATTTGGCTTAATCTTCATTATATAAGACGTTTGACTGCTAATTAGAAAACTACATCCTTTTGGGTATTTGACTATTGCAGTAAGGCATTATGCAATCAATCAATGACTCAGACAATGTCTGTGCATCTTGGCACAGACCCTGTTAAAATAATCTCATTCTGTAGTGTAATCTTAGAATTAAATTAAATATTTGACAACAGGATCACATGATCCACAATGTGGTGTTAATCTTTGTCCAGCGTATTTGCGGCATCTGAACACGCTGCTCGTTGAATGGTGCACAGATAAACTGCAGAGGTTGGTTTTGGGGCTCTTGGAAAGAACTTCCTAAACAAAGTAAGTTCTTGATCAGTTACATTGAGGTATGGCATCGTCTAGGGATTAAAATAGGATTTTTATCATTTTTTGAGAGATGAACTGTTGCATTTGCAAAATGGAGAGTCAAGGAATGGATCATTCTGACCACTGCGTTGCTTCAATACTGCTATCAGAAAGAAACTTTGCATACAGTGCATGAAAGTGACTTTGCCTTCATGTGCTTTGTGTGATGAAACCTCACCTTCTTGATCCAAGCAGTAAGGTTGGTTATCTGACTGATGCATTGATAAATGCTCATTAACCTCTTGTTTGTAGCTCAATGAGACATCAGAAAGATATCTCTTTAAGCTACAGGCAGGAGGATGGAAGGAAGATGCAAAAGGATTATAAAGATAATAGATAATATCATCATTATGTTGAGTAAAAGGAATGAGAATGAGAGACAAGAGCTGGGGAACATGAGGAGACATTGACCACCCAGTAGGATCTTCTTCATCTATGACTTGCAAGGATGCTGTGAAAACTTTGGTCATGCTTCCATGCTTTAATCCTCCCAGCACTAATTGCATCAAGATGATTCATCTTAAGAAAAATCTATTTGAAGACACTGATGTAAGCATTGTTGAAGCTCTGGACGAAATCGTTGCGACGTGCAAGTTTTAATTCCTACTTCAGCTGAAGATGTTTTATTTTCAGCTACTTGAAGTTCCCGCAGACAGCCCTGC